TCAGCCCAGAGGTTGTTTCAGGGTTTGATCTGTGAGTTGGCCGTGCCCTGACTTAGATCAGCCCAGAGGTTGTTTCAGGGTCTGATCTGTGAGTTGGCCATGCCCTGACTTTGATCAGCCCAGAGGTTGTTTCAGGGTTTGATCTGTGAGTTGGCCATGCCCTGACCTAGATCAGCCCGGAGCTAGACATTGTTTCAGGGTATCCTTCGCCAGAAAGCCCCTTGAAAAAAAGATTAGTCTTCAAATTCTTATTTTAACAATTTAAAATCAACCTTGGATTTTTTTTGGAGGGATCTTGCACAAACTCTTTAAAATGGTGTAACCCTTTTTCCCTCAGATTGCTGTTGGCCAAGTATTATTCCCCCCTGTTAATGCTTCTTTTCTTAGCTTTTGAATAGCTACCATTAATACTAATATTGCTTATTTTCAAATCATAAAAGATAGTCATAGGATTAGACATTTATTAGAAGTAATGAAGAGTACAACGATAAAAACAGCATCTTTTTTATAATCATCATTACACATTACTAGTATTTTTGAAAAGCCTTGTCCCTAGTGCTAGAGGACTGTTTATAAAGTAAATGGGGGGAGGGAGGGTAAAAACAGTGCGTGGCCCACACAATTTTGAATTTGTCAAAAGGGGTGGGCTGTCTATGAATTTGTACATTAAACTGTACATCATGAGCATTTCCTGCTTGGAAACAATTTTTTTGGCCTCGTTTTATACCGGGCCAGCAAAAAAGAGCTCCTAAGGTCAGACCTTCAAATCAAGTTTTACCCCCTTTTTCCAACCTCCCCACCCCCGTTTATTTAATGACCAGTCCCTAGGGATTGCTCCCCCTAGCAGTAGGATCACTCTTTCATGTAAAAGGAACATCAACCATAAAACCATTTTTATGTCATGTATTTGTCAATGGAAATGTATTTACTGTACATTTCACGACTAGATTATTTCCAATAAAAGATAATAGTTTTTAACTCTGAGTGTTTTGATATATTGTTTGGTTCTTAGAGAAAATTTCTTGTTGCCATGACATGAAGTTTTTAACCTGGATATCTAGGACCCCCATTATTGCAATTTTTTTCCCTGATCCCCAGGAGGTTAGACATAATGGTACTCACTGTAGATGTTAATCAACTGAGACTGATTATACAGAGGGTGGATAGCACTGTCTGGGCCCAGTTGTACGAAGCCGGGATAGTGCTATCTGGCAAATAAATATCCAGTGGATATGTCGATGCAGTTATCCAATAAATTTATCCACTGGATAAGATTTATCCATCAGATAGCGCTATCCAGGCTTTGTACAACGGGGCCCTGGTGGATAAGTTCTTATTCAGTGGATAAGACAATGCTGTTATCCGATAAATTTATCTACTGGATAAGATCTATCTATCTAACAGCTCTATCCTCCCTCATACAACTGGGCCCAGGGCTTAAAATAACGGTCATAGGATGATGTACAGCCAGAATAAGCCTTTTCATAGTTTAAGAATCGATTCCACTGAGCATGCGATTTTATCCCGAATTTCTCACCTTTTGTCTAAACCTTCTTTTGTTCTTAATTAAACAAAAGAAGATGAGAAATTCGGGATAAAATCGCATGCGCAGTGGAATTGATTCTTAAACTATGAAAAGGCTTATTGGAACTTGTCTTGTCAAATGATTCTTTTCCTTGCAAGTTATTTTGGCCAGTAATGTTGAGCCAAAAACAACGTATCTAAAGCTAATTTGGCTCGTGATAATGACTAGTGATTGACAAGCTGTTATTTTAAGCCTTGGATGTGATTAAAAAAACTCTAACATAATTTGTTAGTCCTCGTCACTGCTCCACGTATCCTGGAAAGGATCGCTTTTCCTTTTAACTTCATTAATCAATCCTTCTCCACCTATGTCAAGTTTATCTCGCTCCATATTTGGTATCCATGACAACAAATGACAGTCATTAGAGCCGCTAAACAACACCTGATAATTTTGCTGAAATGTACAACATGTGACGTTACTGTAATGACCAATGAGAGAAGACGCCTTTCTTCCTGAATGGACGTCAAATATGTTTATACTTGTAGAACTTGGGACATAGATAAGGTCTGACGAAACTCCATCGGTGATTGCGCATTGAATCGATTTGCGTGAAGGATTACTAACACGGCCGTAATTGACCAAAGTATTCTTTCCCGAATATGTATCCCATAATCTAAGACGATGGTCTGTACCATACGTCATTAAAAACAATCCATTACTAGTAAAAACTAAACTATTAACATGTCCATTATGAGCTGTTTTGGTATGCAAGGTACTTGAACCTCCTTTACCATTGTACTGATCAAGTGTCGACAAGCTCCCGCTAGCTTTTCTTATGTCCCAAAAGAGCACTTTGTTGTCACGACTACCCGTTGCTAAGAGAAACTGATTTGTTGGTGACCAGGCAACCGACAGAACAGCACTCGTGTGCCCCCTTAACACATGGGTAGAAGAGCCAGTGTTTAAATCGCAGAGATAAACTCTCGAATCTTCACAACCTACTGCTACAAAACAGTGTTTCTTTGAATTCCTTCCAATCTGATGATGGTAAACTATTCCTTCAAAACCAAAGCTCTCAACAACTTGTAAAGCGTTTGTGTCCCAGACTTTTAGCGTTCTATCAGAGGAGCTTGTCAAGAACATTCCAGTGTCTTCAGAATACCATTGAATCGTTTCAATGCTATTCTTATGGTTGCTTCTCGAGCCTCCTTCTACTTTTGCCACTGTGTCGCATTTGAACTTTTCTTTATAATACACCATTGCTGTATCATGAATAAGAATCTTGGCATTGGAACTACAGGACAAAAGATATCGTCCTTCTACGGGGTCAATATCTACAGAATTGATCCCACAGTTATGATTCTGCTCGAACTCTCCTTTTTGACTCAAACAAAGCGTCTCTGATCGCCTTGATTTCTCTATTTTTTCAAGGTAATGTGAAGGATTGAGTCCTAGTTCTCTGTAGGTGAGACATTGAAGCATTTTAGGGTTTCTTGTTCTATAGAAACTTCAAACTTTAATAGTCTACCAAAATAAAAGAGACGACTGAATTTGTTGACTCATTTAATTTCAGGTGTTTGGTCAGCGGTCTTAGATTCATCTAGGGGTCGGGAGGGTAGAACAAATTTAGACATGCGCTTTAAAACAACATTTTGACATTGATATTTTATCTACTCAAAAATTTTAACTTAAGACTAAACGTTTTAACAATTTATGTGTACTATTGTGAAATCTTTGTTCTTTTATAAGTAGTTTTCAGAAGTGGATTATCTTTGTTAACATCCCTCCCCTCCCTTATCATTCTTATTGTTACTCGTCCCAGGGATACTCTTTGTTAACTTATTGTGAAACAAGATGGCGGACGAGTAACTAATTCTCAAATTTCGCATGTTTTTGCTGTTTTTAAGGATCAAAAAGGACTTTATTAACTTTGTCTTGGTTACAAATACCAATATATTGAGTATATTTAGTCAAGGATACGATAATTTGTGAGAATATGCCTGTGAATTGTAAGAATTGTGGCTTGAAAGCTATTTTGAAGCGGCCAAAGACGGTGAGTTTTGAAAGAACTCTCAATTAGTATATGTAATAGGACTCCATGCTGTCCAATTAAGAAATAATTGGACGAGGAAAATTCCGAGGACTGACAAAATTGGATGAGGCCGTAGGCCGAGTCCAATTTGGCAGTCAGAGGAATTTTTCGAGTCTGATTATTTCTTGATTGGGGAGCATGAAATCCCATTACCTATTAATTATATAGCTGCCTAATTAATTCTATATCAACAAGACCTATATGGGATTAATGAGAAGCTGTATAATTATTCCTTTTATTTTAAAAAAAATTTTTAGTTACTTAGATTTAGTGAGGACTTTTGTTTCTCTTGTTACATTTAGTTGCCTTATTTTCATTCTCCAGAAATTTGGAATTTAAGAAAAAATAATTAGAGATACGGCAAGAGAAAACTCGATGCAATTTGAGAAGATTACACTTGATTTTAGGCCAAAAAATAAGTACTTAGAGAAAATGACAAGGCTGCTGTCATAGAATCATCCCAAGAGAAAACAAGAACAAATTTACATAGGTTAAATTCAACCGTACCCCCCCTCCCCCCCCAATCCCCAGACGTAGCCTTCAGAGACCTGTTGAAACGTTCGATTCTGTAGTGACTATTTCTGAACAGACAGTACATTCATTTATGTGATTTAAAGATGTTTGAACTAGATAAATCAATAAATTTCACTTCCAGAGGTGGTGGGTACCGTACAAACCCCACCCCTCCCCTCTAAATTGGGTCCTGTAAGATAAGAATTGTTTTGGCCTTACCTCTAACAAGTTGTGGTTTTTTTCTTTTAGGGTGATGCTCTCTGTAAGGAGTGCTTCTATTTGATGTTTGAGTCTGAGGTTCACCAAACTATTTTAGAGAATGAGCTGTTTCGTAGAGGAGAGACGGTGGCCATTGGTGCTTCTGGAGGAAAAGGTATGTTAATGTTAACTTGGACTTGCCAAGAGCCGACTACACGAAAAGATAAAAAAATTTCAACAGCGACGTGTAGTGAGTAATAAGAAAGATACCAAAAGAAGAAAAAATGGATTTCAAGAAAGCCTAATGTAACTCTATCATAGCTGCTGTTGATGTGATACCGTCTTTTTGCTCAATCATCTCCTCCATTATGCAATACAGGAATMAAAACTCAACCACAGTGATTAGATCAAGGCAAGCATTTGTGCAACATGCAGCCAATGCTTCAGTATTTTTACTGTTGACTCTTATTGGCACAGCAAACCCTTGCAGTGACCACCCTCAGCGCCAGCAATGAGGTTGGACTAGCACAATGTTCCATAAAGGTTACTAGTGAAGGATACCTCATTACATTACCCACATCAACCACCTAAGTATTTAATATTAAAATCATTAGCAGACAGATATTATATCAAGGAATGTTGCTGGGTGCTGGATGGAAAAACAAAATGAAACAAAACAACAAATAATGCACAGTATTTATTTGTATTTATTTTTCACAGATTCTACTGTTTTAGCCTATGTTCTCAAGACTCTGAATGAAAGATATGACTATGGCTTGAACCTCTTGCTTCTGTCAGTCGATGAAGGGATAACAGGGTACAGAGATGACTCCCTTGAGGTGAGGATTTATACTTTTTGACAACCAGGGAAGATTATTGATATGTGATTTTCTGTAATCAAAGTTACCACACTTCCCAAACACAAGTGTGAAATCTAGACTACAATTTGCTTTCGCGACAAAGTTGGTTTTGGTAGATGCAATCAATTCTATCCACAACATGTCATGACAATGTTCAGATCAATGTCTTGGAACCACGGTTTCAATGACGTCTCCCAAAACCAAAACCATATCGCTATGGTTGCTAGACTTGTTACGACAAATTTATGGTTAATCACATGTGAGAAGTGCTGTAATAGGATAGTACATCCACATGGTCGCATTGTATTGCTTCTTGGCTTGATGAGTTTTAGGCCCAGTCCACACGTATCTGGAAATTTTTGTATCCACAAATTTTTTTATACGGATACTGGTTGCGTTCACATTCTGCAATTAATTTTTGTGTCCATATCCGCAAATTTTACGAAAATTTGCGGACGGCGAAAACGATTCGAATAAGCTGCGTGTGGATGCAAACATTTTCCTATCCACAAAAAATAATTTGCGGATACAAAAATTTCTGGATACTTGTGGACAGAGCCTTAATTTGCCAGTAGGATTTGCTCCAAGGGCAGATCCAGGATTTTTTGGAGGGGGGGTCTAAAAGTACACTCAATAAGTGATGTCATTTTTGACGTCATACGTCACTATACCCATAAAATTCATATAAGCAACTGTTTTTTTGGAATTTCCTTCTTCCAGACTGTGAAGCGTAACCAGATTCAGTATGACATGCCCTTGAAGATAGTTTCATATGAGGTGAGAACAACGTTGTTTCTTCAGGTCTTCTGTTAACAAGCAAGAAATCCTGGGTGAATCCAAGTACCAGAATTTCAAACCCTGAAACAACCTCTGGGGTGATCTAAGTCAGGGCATGGCTAACTCACAGATCAAACCCTGAAACATCCTCTGGGCTGATCTAAGTCAGGGCATGGCTAACCCACAGATCAAATTGCCTAACATAATCTACTCTAAAGTGATGCCAAGTCCAGGAATAGAACTGAAGACCACTGCGATGAGAGGTGATTATACTGCTACACCTTGATCTTGCTTGATTCTCATTGTTACATGTTGCAGGAACTTTATGGCTGGAGTATGGATGCAATAGTCAAGCAAATAGGACTCAAAAATAACTGTAAGTAACTCATAATCATATTGAATTTTAAAATGGGTTTAGTCTTAATTGTCATATGAATTTGTACCATTTGTATCTCTCATTATGTACTTGTTAATCGTTCTCAAATCTTGTGTTTAGGTACTTTTTGTGGGGTGTTTCGTCGGCAAGCATTAGACAGGGGAGCTATGTTACTAAATGTTGATAAAATCGTTACAGGTAGATGGCCAATGAATTATTATTGGAATGTATGTGTATGAGAATATATACAAGTATGATACATTGATACATTTATTGGCATGGTTTGTCATTGTTTCTGCAATGCAACTCAAAAAGGACAAGCCCCTTTTAGTTGAGGGAGCAAAGCTTGAGTTTGGTATGACTTCACTACACAGTCTAAATTCATGTTATTATTAAATCTTTATTAAAAGAAAGGGGGGCCCCAGTGAAAAGCCTTGAGGTACTCCCTAACTAAACTATGCTCTTTGATGGAGCTGTCCAGTTAGGAGATATGAGGTATTCCCCATCAGTGCTCTCAATGGTTAAGGCACTCAACAAGCTATGCTGAGAGTTTCATTTATGTTATATATTTGCAGGTCATAATGCTGACGATGTGGCCGAGACAGTTATTATGAATGGTAGTTGAATCTCGTATTATTTATATTTGACTGTACATCCACATCGTTTTAAGCTCGGCTGTAATGTTTTCCCATATCAGACCATGTGTCATTCCCTAGAGTCTCATTTCTTTGTGTAACGATTGTGCATGAGAAGACACATGAATATGGATACAACTCAAACAAAGAATCTTATTCTCAAGACCATGTGTCATTCCCTAGAGTATCATTTCTTTGTTTAACGGTTGTGCATGAGAAGACACATGAATATGGAGACAACTCAAACAAAGAATCTTATCCTCAAGACCATGTGTCATTCCCTAAAGTATCATTTCTTTGTTTAACGTTTGTGCATGAGAAGACACATGAATATGGATACGACTCAAACAAAGAATCTTTTCCAAAATGTCCAAATTTATTTTAAAACGAGGACTGAAATGAGAACCCCTGTTCCATAATAAAGAGGTTTAATTATGATTAAGAAACCTACCTCAAAGTAAAATTTCAATCAAGTTTTGAAAATCATATTTACATACCACTTCCAACCTAAATTTACAGGTCATTTGTTTTGTTGTAGTACTTCGAGGAGATATCGCAAGATTAAGAAGATGTACATCAATAGTTACTGTAAGGATATTTGCTCTTTTACTACCATCTCAAACTCCATAGACAAATGTTTAAATTTTTTGGTATATTTTAATACATATCTTTTATTTTAAAATTTGCCTGCTCTGTGTTGTTTAGGGTAGTGAGGGAACACTTCCTCGATGCAAGCCGTTTAAATATACATATGAAAAAGAAATTGTAATGTAAGTACTTCATAGATGAGTGTGTTAGTTTTGTAGTGACATGCATTTAACTGCATGGTCCAGATGCAAACCTTGCGTGCGAGGAAAAGCAAGTTACCTCTGTGAAAAGCTCACGGAACAAACACAGTCACTGACGACACGGCAAGGGATACGCCAGACCAATTACTTTGCTCGAGAATTTACTTCCCAGCCAACCAAATACCCGGAACACGGCATAAACACGCCACGTACACGGTACTCCCCATTCTCTATACATCGGTTCACTGGTTAAACATTCAGTCGAGGTTGCAAGTCTCAAATTTGAATTATCCTTTGAAAGTACCTTAGTGCCTCGCTTGAGCGCTTTGTGTTTGACCAGTCAACCAATGTATGGAAAATGGTGAATCGCCAAGCTCACGGCACTGTAAGACCAATCACGTTCGGCGAGAAAAAATCAGCCCATTAAAATTCTAGAAAACCTTGCGGTCACGGTACATTTATGGCACTGAGCTTTTCACAGTTAAGCGAAAACTGCAATACTAGCACTTAGTGCTTGCTTCAAGCCAACTACACCTGAGACTCACAAAGTCATAAGCGAAGCAAAAGACAAAAAAGCGAGTGCAAAGTCGTGAGAGGTCAACTCGTTTCTCTTGCAGGAATTTCCTTTCCATTTCGTTTCAATGCTAGTTTGCGTGCTAAATTTTTGTACGCTGATAAAGAGCGTAAATATCCTTTAGCGACCAGTTTTTGTGTAGCTAAAACAAGTTGTAAAAGTCCTTTGTTCAAGGTGTGTGATCCTGGTTGGGCTGCCTGTGATATATTCAGTGTGCGTGACCTGATATGGAGACCATCACCGTCAGCCACAGCCACAGCCATTTGTCTAACCTCAATCAGCTATCATTATTGCAGTACATTTTATCTTAGTGGTTTGTTCAATACTTAGGTATGCTTACTTCAAGAAGCTAGATTATTTCTCTACAGAATGCATATATTCTCCTAATGCATATCGGTGAGTAACTAGCCTGATAGTAACTTTGCCAATGGTGTCTGTTAAGTATATTGACAGGCCGTGTATGACGTCACGACAGTCGCGCCTTTAGCACGAGACGTGTTGAGCAACAAAGAGAATCGTTTTGCCTTTCACTCGAGTTTTTGTTTTACCCGTTTACGGAGAACCCATATTTTGGTCTTCCATACACGACAGTGTCCAAGCCAGGGCTTTCAGAATGTTTTTAAGTAGGTGGTCATAAGTCTGAAGTAGCTGGCTGTGATCCGACACAAGGAACAGGTTTTCTATGAAAAAGAATTTATAGGTAGCCGGCACTCAAGCCAGCAGCTTATTCTGAAAGCCCTGCAGCCTGTTATGTTACATTGGCATATTCCTTTTAAAAAGACTAAGACTGATCTTTTATCCACTATTATATTCATTTATTCTCATCAATTCACTCCCTTACTTATACATTACTTTATTCACTCACTCATTCACTCCTTCATTTGTTCATTCACTCCTTCATCCTTCCATTCATTTGCTGTGATATACTCTTTCATTCATTCGTTCCTTCTTATTTTCTAGAGGTCACGCGAGAACCTACTTAAAGGACCTGGAAAAAATTCGTCCAAGTTCTATTATAGGTACTACACATCACTGACTCAACATTATTTGTAAATTCCTCCAAAGGAGGTTAAACTGCGAGACAAGATCATTTAACCCTCGACTGTTCTACCCTCTAGATATTATTCACTCTGGCGAGAGTATGTCAGTGAAGAAAGAAGTCAAAATGCCTGTCCAGGGTAAGTTTGACTTGACCTTCTATAAGTGGAAACATTTCATACTTCAACTCTCAGTCAAGATGCTTTATTTTGACACTGCCTTTCCTCCCTGGTATAAAATTGGATAGTGGCAAGTTCTTGGGAGATTATTCGCACAATTCTGGGTAGGGGACTTAGAACTTAGGTAGACTAGCACCCCATCCAGTAGTAGTTAGCATGGGTGGCCTACACTTCTAAAGTTACGGACACACGGTGCAACATTGCTCGCAACAAATTTGAATCGGGGTGACACACGTTGCAACAGAATCACGCAACATCGCTGGTGTCAGCCTGCTATGCGAAGAAATTTGGTCAGCGGTTAAATTTGGTGCAAGCTGATTGGCTGGAATTTTCAAAAGGTTGCACGCAATGTTGCAACCATGTTAACACGATGAAATTTGTTGCGCGCAATGTTGCAAGGGTAGAGCACGATTCAACTTTAGACTCATTGCATGAAATTTTTCTGCAACAAGTTTCAGAGGTGGAAACGTTGCAACAGTTTTGTTATGTGCAATGTTGCACCGTGTGTCCGTACCTTAATTTGGTGCCTCTCAACAACGTGGAGTTCACACTGGGGACCGGTGGTTTGAGACCCGTGTGCCCAAGACCAGAGTAGAGTTAGTTTGATGTATTTTTCTCTCCTGTGCCACAAGGGTTTTTCTCCAGGTTCTCTGGTTAATTTACCAACATGTGAAGTGAGAGTTGTATGCTTAGAATATTTAATGTACTGGTGGTGAGTGCGTAGTGTCATATCTGTACTTACTCATTAGCCTCTGGCTAGGTAGACTCAGCAACAACTCCCGGTATCACGACGTAAAATAAAGATTTATTACTGGGTTGCCTGTGGCAGGCGTAAAATGCCTTTGGTTTTTTTGTTTGTTTATTTATTTATTTATTTATTTGTCTTCTCTTTCTCGCGAAATGTGCATTCTTGCACAAGAGTACCCATATAGGGATTTGAATGAGGTGTTCATAGATTCTAGGCTCATAGATTGGCTTAGCAGCTAAGGATGTAGCTCCGGGTTTTAGAAGTAAATAAAATTGAGTAGTAAAAAGATTTTTATAGTAATACTTCAAGTTGCTTCATCGTTATGAAACGAAAAGAAGTTTTTATCACTAGCGATGGTCTTGGTCTTGATAATTTACGATATCATATTCAACCTCATCAAATAATTATATATTATAGGTACTTGTAGTCGGTGTGGATATATCTCAAGTCAGCACCTCTGCAAGGCGTGTGTTTTGCTAGAGGGATTAAACAAAGGTTTACCAAGGTAACAATAGCCACATGTTCTTGTTGCCATTCCACAGTGCATGCTGGTCAAGCTTGGGTACAATCGTAACTCACCATATTAGGCAGGATGAATAAAAGATGTTTGTGCCCAAGCTAGACCAGCATGCAATTATTAGCTCAACTAATGCCAAACAAGGTGCATTCTGGTCTAGCCTGGGTGCATAGACCTTTTGGGAGATGGCGAACATGGTGCATTCTGGTCTAGCCTGGGTAACAAACTAAATAAGCCTGAAGCGAGATGACGTTTTACCCCCGACTCTATACCATAATAGTTTTTAAGATTCTTTCATATTAAAATTTTTGATTCCTTAGAGAATACAGGAACAATAGTCATAATTAAAGAACAAAAGCAATGTAAAAAGGATTATGGTCTAGAGACGGGGGTAAAGCGTCATCTCTCTTCAGGCTTATTCTTATCCAAGCTAGGTCAAAATGAAAGACCAAATATAGATCCCTGGCATGTGACGTCAAAGCAGCTCGATCTGGGGGACAAAAAAAAACGAATTCCAATCTCCTGAGAATAGGAACCTATTGTTTTGTCCCCCAGATTGAGCTGCATTCCAAAGTGCTGCAAAGGGTCTATAGTCTTGTCAAGATTATGCTATTACGATAATCTCAAAGTTTAAGAAACATATTATTTTATTGGTTTAGGCTTGGCATAGGAAAAACCGACAAGCTCCAAGTAAGTGTTTCAGCAGAAAAGCATTTTCACTGAGTTATTTTTAATTAGAAAATCACCAGTTATAAATAATTATAATGATAAATAATAATTATAATTTTTTTTTTCATTAAGCTAGCTTTTCTTCTTTTAAACATTCAGAGCGCTTGCCATTAAGTCTAACTGATCAGTCTGAGCGGCGTGTTCTCAAATGGCACACGTAATTTCTAAGAACTGGACCAACGCGGCCCGAACCAGTTTTAAGAAACGACGTGTACTGGCCGCTTAGACCGATCGCACCCTCATTCATTTTTGTTGTTTCACAGCGTCAAGCTAAGAATGCCTGCAATGATGGTGGATGTATTGACAATAACTGTGGTGGAAAATCTAAGAATTGTTTAGACTTTTGATATCTAATGACATCTTTAATTATTTGTAAATAAAACTTAAACGAGATTTCACATTGTTTGATTTCTTTTTATTTACTGTCATGTGTGCTCTTTGTCTCTTTAAATTTTTCATGACTGAAAATCGAAGGCCAGCTTGTTGATTGCCACATATTCAGTTACTGATACCTATTGTGATAATACCTGCACAGCTCCTTAAATTTCTGCATAAGTCTGCTATTGTAGAGAACAATTTACTGTGGAGTACCACATGATCAGCTATTGGCCCCTTTTTTCTTTAATGAAATTATCATTTCTTTGAGCTTGGTTGAGCCATTGTTGAAAACATTTGATAGTTTTGATGATACAGTGTTCTTATTTATTGAGACAAGTGAGAGGAAATGTCCTGGCACAGGGTGGATGAACCACAGATCTTTTAAGAATGCACTTACTAGTTGTGTCACTTCAACTGAAAGTAAATAAAAAAACAAAATCATTGCAAATTATTTCTTAAAACCACATGACCTGTGAACTAATACATATTTTGTTTATATCCTCTCTTCACACTCCTCTACTCTACTCTGCTCTGCTCTGCTCTGCTCTGCTCTGCTCTGCTCTGCTCTGCTCTGC